TTTACATGGCTGTCCTAATTGTGAAGGTAAAACAAACAGACTAATGTTTCGTGATATACATTACTTTATAGGGAAATCCAAACGTTTTAACTTTTACAAGATCTAGAAAGCCATTATATTGACAAAAACTGTAATTTTCTATGAAAACAGTTGAACATGGTTGTGGATTTATTTGATAATGTAATAAATGTATATTTTCATTTATCTATTTTGTGCTCCTCTACACAATGTTTTACTTATACTTTTGATAAATGTACATATCGGGTTAATTCTGTAGATTAAATAGTTACATATAAATAAATTAATACACAGTTTAGGTGGTGATGACCTGTGCAGTACTTGCACATGGACTTTTGGTCTATCTACCTAACTGTATCTAATGTTAAATAGTAACTCATGTGTACACGTGTAATTGTGATAATTAATAACTATATTTATGTTTTGTTTGTGTGTGTGTATGTCTGTGTCGGTATGTGTATGACCTGTGTTCTATTGTAAGTAATCAAAAGTGAGTTACCTCCCTTTAATTACTTTATCGTTTACATTTATGTATTTTCATTTCAAAATATCTATAAAATATATTTAGCTATAGTTCTAAAATATTCTTGTAATACTCTAGCCACCTATGGAAAGAATTTATATAGGCTTGCCTGTTATTCGATCCATTCGACCATAACACCATGTCAATAAAATCTGCTGAAATGAAATGAAATGAAATGAAATGAAGTAACTCTATATTGTATGTTGTGTAGTATACTGCGATGCAAATATCTCGATATAGAGTATACATATGCATCCAGTGTTGCTCCGTTATATATTAATAGAGGATTCACATATACATGTATTTAATATATCAATTATTGTATGATGCGTTACTTTAGATATTTTGAATATGTTGGTACCATTAATGTGAGACTAAAGTGCATATGACAGTACTATCTGGGAGGTAAGTGGTTGATTAGAACAGACCGTAGTCGATGTACATTTCCGTTGTCCATGAAAAAATAATAGTTTCAGAAACAATCGGATCTCCCTTCCTGTAATGCATGCTAACCAAAATTCACTTGCATCTCGATTCATTTCCATCCTCTTTCCACATAATTAATATTGATACATATCCACCAATATTTCATTAATAAATTGATTTACGGTCGAAGACTTTTCAACACATATTGATGTATCTGCACGTCCACTCTATTTCCCTCTATGAATATATATGTCTCCACAATCTGTCCCTTTGGATATTGAACGTATTGAGATGTAACACTTTCCCTCTTCATAAGAATATATTTCTATCAACTTTTCCCCTATGTATATTGATATAACACTTCCCTTCTGCTCTACCAAATTTCCTTCTACATATTGTGATATAACACTTTACGTCTTCGTAAAACATGTCTCTCTCTATGTATTGATACATTACTCTTTCCCTCTACCTAAGAACATGTCTCTATCGTTTTTCCTCTACATATTGAGATATAACACTTTCTCTCTGCATAAGAATATGTCTCCACCAAATTCTCCTCTTTGTATATTTACATGTGTATATGTCTCTACATATGAATATGTGTCTACCAGCTTTCATCACTATCTATTGTGACATTTTTGCTCTCCTTACACCAACGGTGACTCTAAATGCTGATATGTGGCCTCCAAATGTCCCTATTTATGTATTCCACGTTCAACTAATGATGAATTATCTGTTTTTCAAATACACATTGCTGTATGGACACTTGTAAGCGTTGAAAAAAGCCCGTTGTTAGTGTTGAATGATATATATTTTCCCTTACCTTTGTGTGTGTTTGTGGAAGATGACCGTAACACATAAACTGGTGCTTGTACTTTTATAATCTGATAATGGATATATATGACAAGATTCTTGAAACCAACAAATAATACAACTATTAACAGTAATGGAAATGTACCGGTCACATAGAAATAATCAATACAGGTTTCTTTTTTGTATAGTGCTCTATCTGACGCCAAGGAAATTACTAAAAGGTGCTTCACACTTAAAAGATGATATACATATATGTTCAACAAATGTAGTGCATCTTACCACGTGCTCATGGTCATACCCTCTATTCCGTCTTTGCGTATTGCAGAGTTATCTTATCTTGGGAGCGGGTATTAATTGTTACGTCACTTGTTTGTGAGAGTAACGTCATCAATTTTTGAGAAAACGACGTAATTTTCTCGCACAACCCAATGACGTAACAATCAATACCTGTTCCCAAGAGAAGATAACTCTGCAATACGCAAAGACGGAATATGTTAAAGATTGTGAACATTTTCTGGATTTGATAAGTTTGTATTTACAGAGTTCTGTGGATGCTCCGCTTTCCTCTAACATTTAGACCCCAGCGCGCTAACATCCGGGTTATCAAGAGTGTTAAGACAAATTAAGAGAACTTGCTTCGTAATTGTTGTAATATAAATAAACTTTATATCTGTGCATGTAACTTTAAAGCTATAAAATAAATCCTTTATACCCTAAATCAGGCCATTATTATCATCAACAATGGTAGAATGTTTTGTTCACGTACATACATGTAACTATATTCCGTCTTTCCGTATTGCAGAGTTATCTTCGCTTGTAAGCAGATATTGATTGTTACGTCATTGGTTTGTGTGAGAAAATTACGTCGTTTTCTCAAAAATTGATGACGGTACTCTCATAAACAAATGACGTAACAATAAATACCTGCTCACAAGAGCAGATAACTCTGCAATACGAAAAGACGGAATAAAACCGGCGCGGTACTTAAATCTACAGCCATCCAATCGATGAATTGACGGACTACGAACTGTACCATGCAAGCCTACTCTATACAATACACCGTGTTCTTTGTGTCCGAAATGACAGCAAATACTACGTTGTGTGAAACATGATGGACTACCAATAGGTATGAAATGGAAATTGTGATGTGGTTATGGTGTACATGTACCTTTAGATAATTATCTCCTGAACATCATATTTTTTTCTTTGGCGCCTACAAAAAACAATCAGATTTTATTTTTTTCCCGTATTTGCCAACTTTATTTCCCCCAATACATAAATATCGTTTTCCAAATATTGTCACCAACAATATCTGAAGATTAACTGCACCCAAGTGACCGACAACTCGTCCTGTAACAGGGTCTTGTAGATGAGTTTACTCTGAACGACTGTAAGCAGGCAATCTTAATCAATACAGAAATATTGTACAGATGTCTATCGTGGCGGCAATTGAGTACAGTGAGGATCTGATGGGTAGTTGAAGGTATATGTGTTACAGCTTTATCCTACAATGAAAGAAAAGCTCCCATTTTAATGACTATGTTGCAAATAGTATCAAAATATAATTAGAAAGGTGTTGCCTTTTTAATAGTTATTCAGTAAAAAAAAATGTTGTTCTTTCGAATTGGTACGTCTTTGCTTTCAATGAAATATATGATTGAGATTTACTTAATAATGCATATTGGATTAGTCAAATTTCTCAACTTAGCTTGAACTGCTTACTTATATATTTATTTACAGCATTTGTCTAACAAAACTGGCTTACTATAAAGCTGTACGATAAGTGTGACACTTTTTGAGTCATGAAGTTTCTGTTTCTAAATGATAAACATCGGACAATATATATGGTGTTTACATGACACAGTCTATTCGCATTCAAAAGAATTTGCTCGGAATGTAAATATTTTCGTAATAAATGTCAACTCCTGTCAGACAAAATTACATCAAAGGTTTTCGATAGATGTACGTAAGTGGGAAAAAGATGTTATGGTCGCCATAATACGCTCATCGTGGAATATTCTATTTCTCTCTTTGATAAAAAGATCCATGTTTTATCATCTATATATACTACTTTATACCACCTACCGGAAGCATGATAGATTCAGTATCATTGGTTGTCAGTATGAGAAGAAGTTGAGAACGACTTGATAACAACTTGAGAACGGATTTTCCTATTCCAAAGCGCTTGGGAACGTGTTATATATATATATATATATATATATATAAAGAACGTCTGTTCGTGCCAGATGACGTCCGAAACCGGAAAGAGTGTCTACACAAAAGTGATCCGCGTAAGAAATAGTCTGTCATTAACATATCAGTAAAAAGTTACGGAAAAATATTGTGAGAATAACAACACCATTTCAAGTGTAAATGTGCATATGGAAAAGCTGATGACGATAGAATTGTTTAAAAAATATTATTTTCTACGTAGTTTTAAGGTTCATTGTATTCCCCCGCGCTAAACTTCTATTCGTTTACGTTTGTCACAGGCGAGCGTTGACCATTGAGCTTAGAAGTCATTTAGAAAACATGGTGTTTAGTTGAGGTTTTTTAAATGGCGAAATATATAAGGTAGTAGTATATAGATGATGAATAGTTTATCATACATTATTTTCAGTGTTTGTCGTTCGGACAATTTTCTCATCGCTCGCACGTAGATAAAATCTCGAGTCCACCTGCGTTGGCCTCTCGATTTTATCCACGTGCTCGCGATAAGAAAATTGTTCTCACGACAAACCCTGAAAATACAGTGTGATAATCTATAATTATCATACTCCATTGTGTGTCTTGTTTCGTTGTCACTACCTCTCTTCTCGCTTTGAGGACATGCCAATAGTTTGACTTGACTTAGATGTTTATGTTGGTTATCACAACTGAAACGGACAACACTTAGAATTTCATTCCACTTGATCGTAATATCCCTATAGTTATGCAAGTTTGTTCATTCAGATCGCTCATTGGTTTACATTTTGTCCTAGTTCATCTGTATTTTAGATTTCGAGTTTGAAATAAGATATTGGTGTCACTTTGGTATTTCATTTTAGTTGTTCATATTACAGAGCTTAGTGAGAAAATGTGATGCATAAGTACCGTTGAAAATGCGGCGAAATGTAAGAATTCTTTACATATACGAGCACCTGTAAAATAGATATCACATGAAGACTCGGCTTAAAATCTGTCCAATAAAAACGAAGACACATCAATAAACGTACTAAAATGTTAAAAAGGAAACAAATTTTATTTATCAATTTTGTCTCTATATGTACCCGAATCCGAGGCATAACATAAATGTATTGGGGAATTATTAGTAGACGATTCGGAGACATCGGTATCAATAACAACACGTGTGAATGATTCGTTCTCGCGGACAACGCGATCTCTGTCATATGATTTGTTGCTTGAATCACGTGACACTCGTCCACGTAGAAATTGTTCACGCCTTTGGCTCTGCGTCAAAGGATTATTTGCCTTAGGAAGTTCATCACAACACTGTGATTCACCGGATTCTTTTTCGGGAGACTCGTTATTGGTTTCCGTAGAAACCTCTCGGAACACTTCCTCGAGATCATGTTTACCACGTGTGTTGAACCGCTGTCTATGTCCTTGCACAATGAGTTCGTCACCCGTGTCAAATGACGCGCTCTTTCTTCGGCCCTTATATGGAATGCTGGAAGGTTCCTGTTTCTCCTTTGCCTCAACGTTTAAGGAGAGTAAGCGGTATGTTACACGCTTTTTGATTCGCTGACTGAGGTCTGAAAGGTTTCTTTGCATCGATGGGTTTTCAATGTTTCCCAGGCTTGTAGGTGTAGAAGGCTCGCTGCATTGTTTGTCCGCAAGTATTGAGCGAGGTTGCTTAAGAGAACTTGTAGATGATTTTAAACACGATGCCACAGGAGTTGCCTCCCCTGAGGCGGGAAGATTGTTTGTGATCTGTGATTTTGATTGACAATACTGTAACAATATCTTGCGGTCCTCTTTGTACATGTCGAACAGTAAGTCCAGCTTTGATTCAATGTCTTCAGTCTGAAATTAAAATTAAGATTAACATTTAAAGTTAAATGTCAAACAAATATTCTTCAGAATCGATAGCTCAGAGTATAATTCAACATTTAAGTATACTTAAAAAACGAATAAAACCATGCGAATGGATTAACGCAATAGAATGAAACACTAAAATAATTCGAGATTGATTATGAACTAACATTTGTGATTGCACTCAACAAATTTGAAAATAAAATTCCAATGCACTATACAGCTGTTTCGTCCATCGGCGGCTAAAACGACGGGGTCAGTGTAAACTACTGCAAACACAGGCTGTTATGTGCTGCAGACCCCTCAATGATATGAATTAAAAAATAAATGAGAACTGGTAACTTTCAAATTAAGAATGAGTAAAGTGTATGTATTATGAACTACTCAAAACAAGATATGTGTGGCTAACAAGGTTGCGGCTGACCTCGATGACTAAGAAATCTCAACCAGCAGAGTACACCACGTTGTATGTTGACCGATGAACCTAAGACACACACAGATGATTGCTAAAAAGGTGGTTAGCTTAATCACAATTGAACGACATTTTTTAACCTTTAATAATAAACAAGGTAAAATCTCACAATTTGGCATGTGCAGTCACTCAACTGAATATTTGATATCTAGAAAGTTGTAACTAATTCAAAGGCTGAGTCTTAAAGATACAGAAAAATTAAGATTTGCGCTAATCACTGATTAAGCTAATCAACTTTTGAACAACTGGGCCCTGATGTCCTTCACATATAACTCTATTGCGATCTAAACTTGTGAAAAAATATCACAAATGGTGTTCTTTATAGCAAGAATTCACTCCTATATCGACAAAATCATTAATAAATTGTCATAATTATCAACAGTCAGCATTTTCATAGTATTCGATCCCAGCTGTATTACAATGAAACTAAATTGTATAATTTATTTGCCTTTCTGCTGATGTATAGGTACCGATATAATACGAACGCGCAAATAACATTACTTTACAAAATATCATATTTCATTACGAAAGCCGTACATTGGGGTTCAGGAATCAACGATGTTATTGACCAAAATGAAGTATTAATTCGTTATGTGGTTTTATAAAGTGAATGTATGGTCCAAACGAATGAAATGAGAAACGTGATTAAACTATCTCCTTAGATGTTTTCATTTTCAAAGGTATACACATCCGTGTTTTTTAATGATTAAATCACTATTCATACATTGTCTGATATCATATTAATAGAATGCGAATGCACGGAGTAGTTGTTTTCTGTTCTACAAAGAAGTCTTACAATTACAGATATCCAATGCACATGTCCTTCCATTCAAGTGATTTTTATCACAATTTGTATTTACCAGTTTGTTACATGTGTAACAGAAACGGCACATTTTATGTTCAATCTCAATCTACGGATTAATCTTTAACTCGTATCAGAAAGTCTGCTGTTCTACGAATGTTTTTCCATCTATACTTTTATCAATTATCTTTTGACAGTGAAAATACAATTGTCACAGAAATAAAGTAAAAGCAATGCCCTTTATTTTCCTGTTTCTATTTCAAGTCTGATACAGGAGAGTCTTTCTGTTTTGACCTTCTACAGGCCTTATCGTTACACTTCATCATTCGATTAATACGTCTGGACCTAAAACCCCCTCAAATAAGAACAATTGAAACACCAGACCGGCGCTGACTCAGATATAACGCCACAGAGTTAATCCTGACGCATTGTAAGCTACATATTTATTTCTATGCAGACACCACTTTTCTTTGAAACTTCAATACGCATATCTGAGTTGATTTATGTTAATATTAATATTTAATTGATATATTTCAGAATTTTATAAAATATGTTCAACTGAATATTACGTTAATTAACGCACAATATCACTGTGTTAAGTTGAACATGTTTGAGTGGCTTCACTGACTCGATCGAACAACGGAAGCACTGCCCAATCATGTCTTCCTCGAAATACATTTCTGTCAATTTTACATTGTGTTATGTCTTCTCAACAGAGATTAGCGACATGACAATATAATCTCTGTTCATACAAAGACAAAAATATAAACTGAAGGAATATGACGCCGAGAACCTATGATTGATCAGGTAGACACGCTTGCATGATAACGTGTTACAAGCTCCTGCAGTATATGCAAGATGAGATAGCGAAGCTTGTTTTTGTGTGGGATGATCTTTGTCTAAGTCCATTGGGGTTTGAAGCATGTATGTTTGAATGGATGGCCTATCGTAGTTTTTAACTCTCTGCTTGGTTTCGAATATAGTATCATAGAGTGACACCTAGTACTAGTAGTGAGGAATGGTATTAAAGCAAGTAAGCCAGTCTAAACATGGCTTTTTTTTGAAATTCGTTCTAAGAAAGTGTTATTAATGGTCATTAATCACCCCTTCTCATAGATGTTTAAAATGGTAATATTCAACTGATCAATATAGGAACATTTCAACCTCATCATAAACCATCTTTACCTGCGGTTTGTTTAAATCTTTGCTATATTAATATTGATTTAAAGAATATAAATTTTTGGCGATTGAACATTATAATTAAACATATAGTTTATAATTTTCTAATATCAATTTTACTATTTTGACAACGAAATGATCCAAATGCCTTAATCCAATTCAAATGCAAGGAACTAGGCTACACGGTTTTGAAATGCGTATTTCGCAACGATATCTAATACGCAAATTTTCGTGAAATAGATACCGTGGTAATTTTGATATTTGTCACTTATGTAAACATTTACCTTAAACGCCATGACATCTGCAACATTTACAGAAGGAGTGATATATACTTTATTACTGTATACTAAATATATCTACTCACGTGGATAGTTACTGGTTGTGCTCTTCTTTATTGTATTTTTCGTCCGTGTAATTATAGTGTATAAAAATGTCCTCTACCTAAGTGTACCTTTTGTAACAAATGTTCTCCATCAAAGTGGCTTGCTGTTATGTACTTAGTGTATACTTACTGAGCGTTCTACTTTAACGATTCGGGAAGCCAAACTCTGCTTAGAGTCGTATGTGTCTTTTTTCTTGCTTCCTACTTTTCCTAAAATTTGATCCAACCTGTGGATAAGATAGAAATAAAATAAAACATTGATTTGAAAAAAAACCTGCTGTTACAATAGAAACTCGCTTTAGCTAAAATATACAGTTTGCAAAGTCTTTACCATCTGTTGACCTATTGTATTGAGTATAACATGTGTGACACACCATTAATCCGAAACATTAATTAGGCTGTCGACATCGTAGTCGGAGTGATACTTAATGTAGCAAACTCTTCCTTCACTGACGCACCTCTCTGTAAGGATTTAGGTTATTGAGTTCGATGGCTATATATTCCGTTTGATCCCATTCGGGCAAACAATGCACGTGGCTTTTGTTGCATTGTGACACCTCATGAAAACAAATAGCAGTATGACAGGAAAGTTCGTCTAAACTTACGCATAAGTTATTAAAAGAAGGTTATTCATGTAACCACTGTTGGCAATAAATCACTCCTTATCGCACGTGTTTAGAAATAGGTAACATTCATCCGTTAATAACTGAACATTGAAACTAAATTATAATATTATCATTGTTTAAGCTTATACTTAAATGTATTCTTAATTAGCATTGATCTATAAGATAAAGTTAACGGGCTCGTTTTTTCCTAGTGAACATAATAATGAGATATAAAGTTAGGGCGTTTATAACATAAAACCAACTATGACGGTGAACTCATCAAAATGTTATAATAAATACACAATAAAAAATAATGGGAATAGATATCGTGATTTTGTTTTCAAAATCATGTTGTTGATATTTGTCTATTTCGTAGGCATATTTGTTGTCAGTGGTTTTCATTTTCAACCATACCTTGATTGGAGACTTTTGATTCGTCCGAGCATGTCCACGTGACCTGCTGAGTATTGTTCAATCACATCTTTCACATCGTAAGGTCTGAGCGCCTCTCGGAATTTCTTTTTTGATACAAAGTATCTTATCTTTCTGATAGCTCGTATAGCTTTTTTATGCTGCTCTGTTAGTTGTGTCATTTTAGGAGAATGGTCTTCTTCTGAAAACAAATCAATATTTGTAAGATATGACAGCGACCTTATTATTTCAAAGGACAAAGAGTTTAACTCGATGAATAAACGATTCATCATCATCATCATCATAACGTCGTCGTCGTCGTTGTCTTCAAACTATTTATTCAGTTTTTACTCATGTACACATCTCTATGACTTGTTTAAAACATATAGCTAACTATTCGTCTTGATGTCTCTTGAAACAAGTAAGGCTAATGTTATAAAGAAGCAAAACGATAATGATTATAAAACACAAGGATGAGCTCGAAATTATAATTGAAGGGTAAATAAGTGCTTCGGAAGGGTAAACATTTCCTCAACCACATGTGACATCCGTCACATACTGGAAATTGTAGATCACTAACGATTTTACAAACAATAACCTAGCCTTTTATCGTGGTAGATAATGAATATCATGACATTTAGGAAATCGGGTCGTCATGACAACTGTATAATTCCATAAGCGTAGAGTATAACCTCCACAGTAGAACACAATGCATACCTAGTGAATGGTTCACCAGGACGCATCTTTTCATGAAATCATGATGGGACATGTTTATGTACATCGACAGGCTAGTACGAGTTTACGGTCACGATTTGATTTGTACGTATCAGTGAAGTCTATAAACTCTCTAAACCGTTAACACACGGATAAAGTATATCCTGTTGAGTTTCAGATGACACCATCGCCGTCACAACATGTGGTTGAGGGAAAACTTACCCAACTTGAACTCTTGTTTTATCTCCGCTTCTCAGGAGTTTGTAATATCTTCCCTAATCGCTATATTCAGCACTATAATCACTATTAAGCCATTAAGCATAAGCACTAAGAAGTATACTTACCGATATAATATTAATAAATAAAAGCACTAGGCAGTATGCTCCATACCTTCATTTTGATCTCTGTAGGAGAATGATGGTGAGGGGTTGTCTTTCTTTATAGGAAGCTGATCGACTCTCTGGTCTGCCAAACCAGTAGCGAGGCTGAGATGACTCCTGTTAGCACAAATGACAACAATATAATTATAAAGTATCCAATGTAACAGTGCAATACGATAAATAGCCTTACCAAACAACGGAACAACGGTTACGTTTGCTTTCTAATCTGGTGATTTATTCTAATACTGTTATGTTCTATAATGATATATTGCAGATCGAAATATGCACTTCCAAATTTGTGTGCAAATCATAAACAATCATCACAAACCTTGTTTTATTAATATATTTTGAAGTACAAATTGCACATCACAGTATATGGAATAGAAAAGGACACAAACAAGTGTCATGACAAATGTAAATCTAAATTTTATATATAAATCTAACGCAGTTAATATAAGAAAGTCTGGAGATCATGAAAAAAATCGTGATATCATAAAAATATCACGAGATCTATATAGTTCTAACGTCATCACCGTGCTTCGCAACACTACGTCGTTGCATTTAAATGACATTACTCAACATAATTATACAGTTTTTGTTATCTGTTAATATTTGATTATACATGTAGCGATGCTACGAATGAAACAGTTTTGTTCATCTATGAATGTGTACTATTGCAGAGGATGCAGCTGGAACATGAAGTCAACGGTTTTGAATGCAGTTAATAGAACAACTCGTTCTGATTGGTCAATATGAAATCGATACGGGACTTTACATTATCACAAGTAAAGTTATGCCAATTGGCATGTTTTCACTGGGTTTTATCAAATTGACCATACTTTTCTTTCAGTGGTAAAAGTGAAATAACTTAAGTTGATAAGATGAGTGTGCTATCATGTTTTAGCTCGATGAGATCATTGAATCCACACCTAATCAGCGAGATTGACAAACATAATATGTAAATTTGAACGTTGACCGATCCCTTAAAACTTTAGTTAATCGACGCAAAACAAAAAGCCAGAAAAAAATGTAAGCATCTGTACAAGATGCAGTATAATCACTTTTACTACTTATTTATAATATACAATATTGAATTTCTTGTGTAATCAAATAATATAGATGCTGTCATAATCGAACATGATTTATACATGTATTTATATGTTCGTTTAGGTTGCGAGGTTCCTTCGCTTTCGAATAATCGCATCAATGTTGAAATAACAATATATTTTACATGTGAATTCATATCATCAACACGAATATTGGAAGTAGAATGTAAATAATGGTAGGACGATGTATATGTAATAATTTGTATCAATTTATCGTATAGTTGTTACATCGGACACAGGAACAGCCCTTGCTGAAAGATAGACAATACAAAACAAGGAAATGCTAATCAGTGGAATTTCGTTAATCCAACTATAACAAATCTGGTTGTTCAACTATTCAGGAAATATTTGAGAAGACAAATGAGGATTTTTTTTTCTGTGTGTATTTTTGCAGGAATACAGGAATACAGCCGACTTAGAACAAAAGCGTATAGGGTACATGTAAATGTATGACGAATTAAGCCTTGCATGAAATATGACAAAACACGTTAATACACAAAACGAAAATCTAGTCATGCTTTCCGTTTATCAAATAAAAAATGAATACATCATACAAAAATACTAAAGGCTTACACAAAATATCTATTAATTCAAAGCGTATAATTGGTTCCAGTAATATTAATCTTACCATGTGCGGTTCACCAAGCTGTTAAAATGACAACATTTTGTTCATGTCAATATACTGCGACTGATCCAATGCATTTAAACTGTAATATTACGGGCTTATATTATAGGGAGCATACAAGTGTGTAGACTATTAAAATTGAAGGAAGTTGTAAGTATAAATAAAGCCATTTAATAAGTCATGTTAGGTCTGAACGTGATGATCTGCAAAACAAATTTGTTATCTTTTTTTGAAGTTTTAAGAATTTGTTTCCTTGTGGATATTTTGCACTGCAAGAGAGGGATCTTTTCATAAGATTTTTTTTTTTTTTTTTTTTTTTTGTAAAACAGAAACATGTTATGAATATCAGTTGATAACACATGATCATAAGTTTAAGTTCTTAACACGCCTAATGAAACTCCAAAAATGTTCCAAAGTGAAAAAAAGTTAAAAGCTGATGAAATATATAAAAGTATCAAATATCTTTTCAGTAAAACCAATGTATGAAGCTATTTTTTCGTAGAATGTTCAGACGCAGTGTTTATTTTTTCACATTTAAAGCACAACAAGAATGGTTATGTTACGACAAATCGTTTATACTTTGCTACTAAGACTACATGTAGTTGAAACATATCGCTGCATGTCGATAAAGAAGAAATGTTGGTGATTAAGAGTGTGAGCAATAAACTGTCTATCTTGCTTCAATGTAGTTGACCTTTTACTAGTGCAAAGTTTGTAGATTTGTTATATTTAAGTGAAGTAAGATTATACACAATATATGATTGATACCTATGCTTAATGCTATTACTAAAGCAATGTACAGGCATTCTTACTAGAAACCACTGCGTCAATGTTAGTTAACATATAACATGCCAGGCTGTAAAATTTATCAGACTTTGTAGTAATCTAAAAGGAGTGCTAGTTTTCCAGACAGTTCGTACCTATTAATTGCAAAGTCATCCGTGTCTGCTGTTCCGTTCGGTCGCTTTGATTCTTTGCGTGGAATTAGTGGCGAGTGTGGAGAGTTGGAAGTTATACTACTTCCGGCACTCGACCGGTCTCTTCGTCTGGTGGAGAACCTGCTCACAAATGAGGAGCCTGTGTTGTTTTTCCATTGTCTGTCACTGTATAAACAATTTATAGATAGAAATGTCTTTACGTCTTCATGACAAACTACATATTCATTATTTAACGGCAGAAACAAAAGAATTAAGAGGGTCCAATAATTTAATTTGCGTTATTTTTTATATTTCGACATTATGTTGATAACGGTGATATCACAAAAATGATTATCATGATACTACTTCACAGACTAAAATTCACACGTGCTTTAATACAAAGAAACTTCGATCTCCAGAATTGATTGTAAACGTAATAAAGAAAAAACTTCATGCAACACAGAAGTATCATGTAGAAGAACCTTATTTCTAAGGGATACTTTAATTATAATTTTAAGCACATAGAAATATTGCTAAAAAGAAAAGTAGATGCTGCTCCTCTATGACATGAAACTTATGTCAGTAAAAGTTCCACCGGATTAAAACTGCAATCTACATTCTGAACTTGCCTAATTTATCGACATCACATTACAAGAACTCTTAAAAGCATTCTAGGGAAACAATAACATATGTTTCTAAATCCTTAAATAATGCTCTGTACAACGTTTTAATGGAGATAAGGAGTTCACTCTTTTATACATGTAAATCGCAGATCAGCATGTAAGGAAGCATATATCACGAATTACAGGTATAATTTGTCAGGTAGCATCATCCTTAACTCTCACACGAATCACAGGTACAATTTATGCTGTGTCAGGTAGTATCATCCTTAACTCTAACACGAAGCACAGGTATAATATGTCAGGTAGTATCATCCTTAAATCTAACACAAATCACAAGTATGCTGTGTTAGGTAGTATCATCCTTAACTCTAACACGAAGCACAGGTATAATATGTCAGGTAGTACCATCCTTAACTCTAACACGAAACACAGGTATCATATGTCAGGTAGTACCATCCTTAACTCTAATACGAATCACAAGTATAATATGTCAGGTAGTACCATCCTAAACTGTAACACAAATCACAGGTATAATATGTCAGGTAGGATCATCCTTAACTCTAACACGAAACACAGGTATAATATGTCAGGTAGGACCATCTTTAACTCTAACATGAAACACAGGTATAATATGTCAGGTAGGATCATCCTTAACTCTAACACGAAGCACGGGTATAATATGTCAGGTAGTACCATCCTAAACTCTAACACAAATCACAGGTATAATATGTCAGGTAGGATCATCCTTAACCCTAACACGAAGCACAGGTATAATATGTCAGGTAGTATCATCCTTAACTCTCACACGAATCACAGGTATAATATGTCAGGTAGTATCATCCTTAACTCTAATACGAATCACAGGTATAATATGTCAGGTAGTACCATCCTTAACTCTAATACGAATCACAAGTATAATATGTCAGGTAGTACCATCCTTAACTCTAACACGAAACACAGGTATAATGTGTAAGGTAGCATCATCCTTAACGCTAACACGAAGCACAGGTATAATATGTCATTTAGCATCATCCTTAACTCTAACACGAAGCACAGGTATAATATGTCAGGTAGTACCATCCTTAACTCTAACACAAATCACAAGTATAATATGTCAGGTAGGATCATCCTTAACGCTAACACAAAGCACAGGTATAATATGTCAGGAAATATCATCTTTAACTCTAACACGAAGCACAGGTATAACATGTCAGGTAGTATCATCCTTAACTCTAACACGAAGCACAGGTATAATATGTCAGGTAGTACCATCCTTAAATCTAACACGAATCACAGGTATAATATGTCGGGTAGTATCATTCTTAACTCTAACAAGGTATAATATGTAAGGTTATATTATCCTAGACTCTATTACAGATTACAGCTCAAAGTGTAAGAAAATGCATATATTTTACTGTAATTCAAATAACAAATCAATGTGTAAGAAAGTTTATATCCTTAATTCTTACACAAAACACAGGTAAAAGAGTAAAGTTGATTATAATCGTAAAACTAGCACAAATCATGGGTATAATATGTAAGGAAGCATTTATGTATAGCTTAAACTCTAATTTCATGACAAAGCCTAAGGTAAATGTATCCCGCGAGTAAGAGGATGTATAAGTGTTATGACGACAAAGTGGCTGTACATACGATGTAGGACTAGGACATGGGATCATGTGGGGTTTCCAGGTGGCTATAGACATGGAATTCTCGTCCGCGGCGTAACATCTCCAAAGACACTGTATAAGTCGTGCAGCAGGCACCCGTCTCCTTATAAGGTGTTTTTGACGTTGCTGTTGTTGGACCTTCAGGGCGAAACCGGAACCCAGAATCCCCTTTATGAAACAAATTCAGACGAAATAAATGATGATATCGTACATACTGTTTTGGTATTTGCATCAACTGTGAATAGGTACATTTGAAATCGTAAATAGAAAATATCATATGACACCTGATTTCGTGTCGAAAAGAAAAACAAACATAAATATTGATATGACACTGAAATACCAGTCAAGTTAAAGAAATACGGCGCTTAAATACAAATCAAACTACATAAATACAGCGCTTAAATATCATTCAATCTATATACATTTGTAAATACGGCGCTTAAATACCATTCAAACTATATAAATATGGCGCTGAAATACCATTCAGACTATATAAATACGGCGCTCAAATACCATTCAAACTGTATAAATACGGCGCTCAAATACCAGTCAAACTACATATATATGGCGCTTAAATATCATTCAAACTATATAAATACGGCGCTCAAATACCATTCAAACTACATAAATACGGCGCTTATGAGTACTAGTCAAAATACACAAAACTGTATCCGTCACATTGTTTGTGTTATTTACGATCATACTTTTAAGTAGCAATTGTAGACGTAGTTCACGGCAGAATTAATGTATTTGTATACTGTGGCTATAACTTCACCCCCAAAACCCGCACAAATAAAGAAAACTTTCGTTTATTTCATTTGTTGGAAAGCTACATATTCTTTTTCATAATTTTGTCAAACGTGAACAGATTCAATGTCGTCTGGTGCAACACGATAAGGTCAGCTCAGAGGTGTCCAATACTATATGCTGTGGGGCAGGAGTAGTCGGCACACGGCTATCCGATCAATACATATACTGAAACAAATCCAGTCAGTTAATTTACATGCTCGTGGTTCACCCCATCTGGTTATCATATTGACACTTATATAGACATAAATTATCAGATTCCAAAAATCCCCTATAGAATTCATATTTTGGTATGATTACAGCGATATCCCCATAAGGTAATGTGTCGCAATGACAAAATGATGAGCACGATTTGAGGCAGGGCAAATGTGTTTAATCACTCTACGAATGTACCTTCATTAAATTATCATGTTTGCATGTATGTTGCATGTATCTTTTTTCGTTAGACATAAAACGAATACACTGGATTATGTTTACAATGGCTTGGTTAACCAACTGTTCTTATATGAAACACTTACTTATGGTTATCATATAAATGTAAACTACAAATGTAGTACACTTACATACACGATTACAGCTATAATGTTCTAAATTGACGATAATTTGACATGGAACTATACGGAAAACACTAAAAGTAGTTTATCAATTAACATATTCGCATTGTCCCTATAGGCAGAGAACACAAGAACGATTAATTTGGCACATGCTCAAAACTATATTTCTCTACAATCTTATAGTGGGAAAACTAAGTGATTTTCCAAAACGTTTACCAAAATGTCGGAAAAAGTCAAAGCGAGAGCATTGAGTTGACTTAGTTATCGTGTCCATGCTTAGCGTTTAAAACAGTGATGATAAAGATGTGATATTGATGCTCACACGACAAATTGTTTATAATTTCTTCCTTCAAACTACAAACATGAAGTTCAGTATCAATATTTAAGTATGTTTTCCGATAAGTTATAGATCAAATACGAGCTCCATATTCATAGCTTAAAAAAAGAAAGGAACATTTCTGCTAAAAACATCCTAATTAAAAGTTTATCACAAATCGGAAAAATCCTCTCATTTTTTAGGAGTTACCGCATGTTCCGAGACACCAATAAAGCCAACAATAACGTCCAACCATTGAGGAACCCTGTCCCACAGCACTGACGTTAATCCTACATACAACAATGTTCCGGCTTACAGTACGATATCTCATGTTTCTTGAATATCAGGTATATTTCAAATTAATGAGTGCACTGTTTAATATCACTGGCCTTTATCACGAAACATAAAACATTTCCTTTGCAGTAATGTTTACATCTAATGCTATACAGACTCCGCTGGATTGGCCTTCCCTCTGAGTCGCGTGTCCGGTGTCCAACGGTAGGCGTCATATAAAACAGCCAAAACGCATGACCTATTTACAAAACCCACGCGATTAGCCAGTCGTATTGGTAATAAATACCAAAACCTAACAATGAGTCAATCGTAATGGCTATTAAATTCCACGTTTTAGTAGCACATAGATGTAAAATTACCGAGCTCTCCCCTCGCTGATGGACTGGGTACAACTTTAATTAGGCTAGATATTACAGGATAACATTCCTACAATAGGAAACTGGACAGATGAACGATGACGCACTATGAAGGGAAATGAACCAGACAAATAAAGCGTGACAGTTATGGCTTTCCTGTCGCTAATGAACTGACTTCCTCACAGTGCTTCGTCCATACATTTCACGTGTATTCTTTTTAAATTGTCTCAAAAAGCGAAACCGTCACAGTATATGTTTTTTTTCAAAAAAAATGGGCATATGATTTGTACTTTTCTGCTGGTAAAATTCAACCCATTACAAATCCCAGAATAATAGATAGGTTTATTACCTCTTTCACGAGAAATGCTGCTAGATAATGGTGAGCATGTTTCCATATACATATATAGTGTGCTTAAAGTATTATTGTATTTGAAACAGTACGTAGTTAAAACAAAAAGACTAGAACAATCAATACCGGTTACCTTTTTATGCAAAAAGAGAAACACAATACACAATCGTTTCATCTCACACATACAAACTTGGCAAAGAATGAAAAAATACCAAAGTGTAATAAAACCAACTCAAATTCAAAATCGATAAAACTGGATTGGGTGTGCACTTCGACTTTTGAAAAAGCAGAAGGACAATGAGACCAGCTGTTCCGAAAGGGTAGGCGTCATCTGCTTCAATTGCCGACACCTTGTGCTCAAGTTAAATTTCTTTTTCCCACTTTTTTTAGTCAATGATTTGGGAAAACATTGAAGAGACTGTTTTAAATGTTTAAATTTGACTTTTTGAACAAGGTGGGCATTTGTGACAAAAAACAGGCACTAAGAACAAAGAAAACGCACCGTGGACAACGACCAGACACATAGGAGAGGAGAAAGGGAACTGGGATAAATACCCATCGTCGATAATATATATGGGTTTCTTAACAGTCATACATACCGCTGGCAGGGCGAAAAAGGATATCCCCAACACGGCGGAGAAGGCAGCGATCAGTTTCCCAGCCCATGTGGTCGGCACTACATCTCCATATCCTACTGTGCATAGAGTTATCTGGAAAAATATAGACCTATGATTGAATTTCTGTTAAAGTATTATCTCTCTCATAATAGATATCTTTGTTTATGTTTAACAAACATTTTTTCTTTCCAATTTGATTAAGCCCAATTATCTATTAGCATTAGAGACAGTCTTTTTCAATTCAGACAGGCAATGTATATGAGATTTAAACAACTACCCGAAGGACAAATTTAGCGTGAATTTGTTTATGATCCTGATGATGAGAAATAATTAGCGTGAATGTGTTTATGATCCTGATGATGAACGTGTGGTGGTATAACCTCGCTGTTTTTAGAGCTGAACCGGGAGGACTGGTTTGTCCAAACAGTCGTCTGAAGTTTGCCTTTTCATTTCTACACAAGAAGAGAGAACAAAACACGAAAACAAAAAAGTTCTTTAATATGCTGTTTAGCGTAAGAGAAAATGAAGAAAAGATAACTTAAGTTTATTCCAACAGAAGTAACTTAATACTTACCACTCCCCACCAAAGTGCATCAGCAAAACTGCGAAATTTCTTTTTATCGGCATCTTTTTCTGCCAGATACACCAGAAAGGATGAGAAGAGAAGACCAAGAAATCCAATATACAGCGTTGTAAGAAGTTCCTGCAGAATATAATTTATATCACATCAAAGAACTTCTACACGTGCAAATTGATGACGTAGTACAAAGTAATTTAAAATTAACTAGAATGTTTCATTTTACTGCAGATCTGCAATAATTGCAAACTGTGATGCGAGCTGATCGCAAAATACTGTAAACGTACATTTTTAGCGGTAGTCACATTTTAGCGTTTTTAGCGCTTTACCCATTGCGCGATATTATGAAAGCGCTAATTTGTGTGTCAGTAAATTGTCATCTATTGTATATATTGTTAATGCGCCGAATCATGAATGCGCCAGTCTGTTAAAATGCAATAATGCGTGAAATGTGGGATGCGTTAAAGTGATTACATTTACATAATAACCTCGTGATATGTATAATAAATATGTATTCAATAATACAGAAAGGAAATCTAGTCGACAATCTACCTTCTACGGGACCATTCCATAGAAAGAAAAGGTATGCTTGGCACCAATGACTTTTTGCCTTAATGTCCTTCAGTGGTAAGGAAATTAAATCAAAGCGGCAATATACCTGCCTAAGTGGTGTTTCAATTGTAGGGAAAAGAAAATTAAGCGCCACTGACTACTTGCCTCAGTGTTCATGCAATGGAAGGGAAGGGTAAGCTTAGAACTAATGACAACTTGTCTCAGTTCGCATTCAATGGAAGAAAAACATAAGACTACTTGTCTCAGTTTACATTCAATGGCAGGGAAAGGTAAGCTGAGCACCAATAACTACCTGCCTTAATGTCCATCCAATGACTTTCTGCTTAAGTCGTCATACAAGGGTAAGAAATGTTCAGCTAAGCATCAATCTACCTGCCCCAGTGTGCATTCAATTGTAGGGAAAGGAAATCTAAGCGCCGATTTACCTGGTGAAGTGGTCATTTAATTGTCGGAAAAGGTAAGCTAGACACCAGTCTACCCGTCTTAGTGACGATTCAAAGTTAAGGAAGGGTAAGCTAGGCAAAAGCGAGGCATCAATGACCTCTGCGTAAAGGATCAATTTCACGGGTAGGGAAAGCTAAGCTAAGCGTCTATTTGCCAGACGAACTGGTCATTCAATGCTTAGAAAAAGTATAGCTAGGCACCAATATACCTGCCTCGGTGACAATGTAATGGTAGGGAAAGGTAAGCTGAGCACCAATGTACCTGCCTATGTGCCCAGACAACGGATCCTAGAAGTTTCCATGAGCCTCCCCGTCTGTCCATCCGAGCCATTCGTAGGATCTGAAAGAAGCGAAGTCCCCTGAGCGGTGAGGCGGCGAACATAGGGCTCGCGATTCCCAGAGAAAGTACGACAATTGAGGCACCTATAATCACCATATCTAAAACACAGACACCATGTGTTACACGGGAAAATACAAGTTTTACATCGAACAAAGTTGTATTTTACCATATTCTTCCCGTTTACAGTGAAATATACAATGTTTATAGACAGATAGTCATTAAGGTATAATAACCATTGTCATATCAAAAAACTTAAATTAGATATTAGCAATCTGTCTGGAAAGACGGTCTGTATTCTGATACATTTAACTGCTCTATTGAGCAGCTTTAAAGGCAGTATCACTGTAGGTACCATTGCACATCTGTCTACACTGACATATGGTAAAGGGAATGGATCAAACATGATAGTCACGTGAATATGGTACAGAGGAACACTGAAACCTGTCAGTATTTATTTACATAGGGTATAAGTTTAAAATACGGCCTATATTATTCAGGTGTAAAAGAGAACTTTAAGGTTTTATAAATAATACAGGTTTAAAACAAGACCTGTACTTTTTATATATTGAACTGGTGATATTTCTTGAAAATACAGGTGTAAAATGAGACTTCTAAGGTTTTATAAATGATACAGGTAAAAAATCAAGTAACACCAGATCAGTGTAAAATGTAATTAGATATTAATCCAAAGCAGATCCTGAACAGACTTTTCAATTATTTTCCATTTCATTTTCCTCTTACCTATAATACAGAGGGGTCTCCGCATGAACCTGAGGCGCCCCGAACATCCTTGATATCGGGAGCGACATCCAGCCGCCCACACCCGGATAGCGTACTCGACCATTAGCCAGACAAGCAGGACTGGTTCCTGTTGACGAGAAGAGTTCTATAACTGTATCATCGTTATATTGTAGAGTATGTTATAACAAGATGTATTTAATACTGTAGACTAAAATAAACAGACAATATTTTGATACGCAGCAAAGTAATTCAAAGGATTTTCACTAGTTTATCAAACTGCTATGATTTGTTTTTGTTATTTTTTTCCACAGCATTAAAAAACAAGTAAAACAATTGACCACAGTGTCAACAAATAAGAATAAGATCATTAACATTGTCAACACACAATGATAAGATATTTCACCGCGTCAACACACAATGATAAGATATTTCACCACGTCAACACACAATGATAAGATATTTCACCGCGTCAACAACAAAATGATAAGATATTTCACCGCGTCAACATACAAGATTATATGTATCAGGAAACTTTTACAAAAGCACTTACTCTCTGGAAGAAAGTACAAAAACCGCGATATTCGGTAAGGTTGGTGCCAAAACCATCTTATTCACTATATCGTGTATCCAGTGTTTTCTATATATACATTCAATCCCATTTGTCACTGTTTTTCAGCTTGATTGTTACGTCATTGGTCTGTGTAAGAAAATTACGTCGTTTTCCAAAAATTGATGACGTTTCTCTCACATACAAGTGCCGTAACAATCAATACCTTCTCCCAAGAGAAGATAACTCTGCAATACGCAAAGACGGAATATGCAATGAAAAGAAATATGTAAATTACATCATACTGATGTTTATTGGAATGCTATGACAGTTCACCGAACGAAATAAAAAAAAAAAATCAGCGTTTTATTACCGTTGATAACGCTGACCGTAGATATTGTACCTAAGCGAATATTTCGACTGGAGTCACAGGAGTCACTTAGGAGGGTGAGGCGATAAGGTATGATTTACTTACTAAATATAATGCTATTCTTGTGAACAGTTTGGGGTGAAAATCCTCCACTGTTGCCAAGACACTGAGAACTAGACAGCCAACGATCACAAGGAACCTGTAATATAAATAGCAGTAAACAAATCAATATCATTATCAGATATAGACTTCATGAAATAGTACGAGAATCGATAATTATTATCAATAATAAATGAATAAATAAATATATGTTTAATCACATGAACACTCTTGAAATCAAAGGTCTACATCTACAGAATTACAAATTTGAAATCCATTGCAATGAACACATTCGTTTCGTTAAAAGGTAGGGGATGCAATTTCAAAAATTACTGAAACATTTGTAAGTTCATGAACATTATTTCACTTTCGTTTATCGTAAATAAAAAAACCTCGGCACTTAAGTAAACTAATAAAAGTTGGAATCAATGAACGCAACATGACAATACCCGTGTAGAAAGTTGGCCCGTGGAATACCGAATTGCGCGTTTTTAGGCCTTATGAAATCACGAAAAGCAACACACGATGCTTTACTGACAAAAGGCTAAAATCGCCTCGGGAAATAGCCCTGGTCGCGGAGAACCAGAAACTCGCTATATCCCGAAATGTATAATAAAGACCCGGAGCTGAGTAGGTGCTCTGTAGCATAACCAACACTTTTTGTTCTATACAGTCTGTCTGAAGCCGTATCAAGTCTTTCCAAAAAGGTTTGTACAACATGAGCATTAGAGGTCTCCATTATCAACCCAAATTCGTTCCCATTAAAACTTAGTTGAATTGTAGGACTGCTCGATTATATGATAAACAATATTTATTAGATAAGTTTCAATCGTCTCCTTATTGCACTGTGTTAGGTTTCCCTTATAGCACGGTGTTATAAGTTCCTTATATTACTGTGTTAGGTTTCCCTTATAACACGGTGTTAGGTTTCCCTTTAAAACTGTGTTGAATTTTCCTTATATTACTGTGTAAGGTTTCCCTTATAACATGGTGTTATAATTTCCTTATACTACTCCTATAAAACTGTGTTAGATATTCCTTATATTGCTGTGTAAGGTTTCGGTAGCACATTTATTGGAAGTATATTTTACACGCAAACCTAAGTTATTACAGGTTGACAATAGCTGTCCTACACAGGTGCAACATTATAGTCTGTGTATTTTGTAGTATTTTGGAGTATTTTTTGTTTTGCCACTTTTCAGATGTTTTGCCTACGCGATGGCACAAATTGGGGTCACACTTTTGCAATTCCACTGTCTGTTTGTGTTTTGATATTGGACTAGCCTACATAGTGTACACGTTTACCAGTGGTGGTACCAAACAACGCCAGAATGCATTCGTTTTATATTCGGACGTTAGTAAAACAGCTTGTATTTTCTCCTTGACATTATTTGAAAAACATTTATCACATAATGTACTGTGTTATTCAGTGAGTATACCCATGTCATATTTACTTGCATATTAACCCATGTACATGCAATATGATCTATCAGCCCTGTGGTAGGTTGAAAGTTTCGATTGTGACGTCACGCCTAGGATAAGTACGTATATACATGACGTCATAGACTTACGCACTGGAGTCAAAATGACGGCTTTTTACATTTAAAGGTTGCATAAAAATTATCGTTTTACACGAATTAAAGCCACAAATCTTGATTTTCCAATAGTTTCCATGTAATTCTTTCCTTTGTTAATATTTTGCCCTAGTTTTACCGAGTTTTATCGAGTTTTACCGAGTTTTATCGATTTTGAGATCGAATTGCTGTTTTGATGATTTTTTTTGATTTTTTTGATTTTTTACGCAACGCTGTGCCTCACGAGGTGACATCACAGAAACATGTGATTACATTTCATCAGTAGTTCATCAGTTCATTTAAAAATGTATACGAGCATGATCAGCATCTACATAGGGCAGTTTGGACATATCAAAAACTGAAATCTGTGACATTTTGAAAAAAAACATTGATAATCAAAAATTTGACCTAAAATACTTTCAGAATCTCACATAAAATCAATAACAAGATTTTTATGTTACAGCATTTCTCGATAAGATGATCCGGCTTTAGATCATCGTGAGTTAAACTCCTGTTCCTTTTGTGATACGTGTAGATATACGGCTGCTGTACTGCTCCGCGTTAATAGTACATGCTATAACACTTAGCGTGATTCATGTATAATCTTGAAGCTCGTTAAGTATCGCTCTGTTTTACATGTATGCTTTTTATTCAATATTGTACTTGCTACTACTACATATAATCAAATTAATGTTAATTTCATACCAATAAGTGGTGGATGTTTGATATTTGACATGCATAGAGAAGATTAGATTAATGATTGACAGACATAAAGGAGATTTTTAAGCGTTGATCTGTTTTTGTATGGTATTTATGATCTATTTGAATGACACAGCTTTGCAAGCAAACATCATAATGCGCGCTAGATCATAAATACCATACAAAAACAGTTCAATACTTATTTTTACGTTTTCTCTGCCTCTAATTTCTTTTTTAACTTACAATTTGTATTTAAAATTTAAAATTCCCGCCTTATCGACAGTCCACACAAATTCGTTCAATAGTTGGAACAGCGTGTTGTCGCGTACTGATTGGCAAACAAAGTAGTACTTTGAAATTTTAACAAACACTTCAATTTTATTCCACAATTCAGTATCAATACAATTGCGTATGATATGTCTATAGGGTGATTTAAGTTTATCAGACGATATTTCTGATAAATTGCATGAGTGTTAAAATTGTTTCCATTGCCGGCATTGGTGAATTAACCGATGTGAATTTTGTACGATATTGCAGACCTTGGTCTTGTTTTTGTTGTAATAAAAGTTGTTTTTTCTTTTTTCTTTTGCACATAAATTTACTATTACATTGTCAAGTCTCACAATGCCCAACGATATTTCAGCAGCCGTCATGTTTATTTACATTTGATATTGTAATTCCGGTCAGTGTTGTATTAATACGCTAAGAATTGTGTCTCGTGCTGCATGGTAATTAAAGTCCCATCAATTCAATTCAATTTATTACCAAATACTTTACAAATATCTTGTACAATGGCGGAGAACATATGCAATAGATTCAATTCCATACATAATATTTACAAATTAGGAAATTGTCATAAGTTTGGGAAAACTTTAAGGTTTTCCTAAGGTAACTTAGCGGACTCTTATGAAGCATAATTTAGTTGTATAATTTAGTTGTTTATGAAATAATACAAATAAAGCCTTTATCTAACCAAATTGCTAGGAAATGACAAAACTTCAAAGTCAATCATACAACCTCAACATGAAGGTAGAACGAGTACAATATATTATATAATGAAATGAGATTATTACTCATTGTGAAGTAAAAGACATAGATCTCAATCGCATTATACAGTAACAAAACGTTTATAGCAAGAATTTGATACAGCTTATATTTCATAATATACGACTTCTCTTAACAGTTGCCTGAATCAAGTACTTACTTAAATTTCTAATAAGTTTAAAATTTTTGCTAGACAGTAGCTCTATTAATTTAAACACAGAAGGACGAATACGATAATATGGCTTGATATACGATACTCTTAATTCTAAAAACACAGGACACATAAGAATGAAATGAAACTCATCCTCGACATCTCCAAGATCACATAAAGTACACAATCTCTGGTTTCGAGGCACTGCATTATATCTACCTGTCTCTATATTAAGGTTATGTGCTTGCAATCTATATTTCGCAAGAATACATTTATTTTTTCTAAATAGCGGTTTTGTAAAATACCATTGTAGATCAAAACGGTCAATAATGTGTTTATACAACAAACATTTTGAAGATGTCTCGAATATGTTTCTCATTTCCTGAATAAAAGTATCCTTTATGCGTTGTATATATAATAATAATAAAAAAAAATATCATTTGGTACACATTGTGCCAACCACACATCTCCAAAACCCAACGTACACAAATCACGTCTCAGATGATAAACTCAATTTGCTTTACCATTTGGATTCCGGTTATAAAGCTCTAAAAGTTCATCGTAACAGGCCCTCAAAATACAGTTATTAGTCTTTAATATTTGCAGACAGTACTTTACAATAGCAATCCTACGCTGTATATGCAAAGGGTAACGACCAAGTTCAAAATACACCATGGCATTATTTACTGTTTTCCTGACACCCAATACGGTTTTCAAAAATAACAAATGTATATTTTCAATCTGCGGTGCAGGACTATAACCCCATACTACACACCCGTAATTCACAATGCATGATATATAAGTATCAAATAAAGATAACTTGGTCTTTTCATTCAACAAAAATCTTTTCGCTTTCCGATTAAGATGAAAATAAACTTTCCTCCTTGTACAGCAATTTTATTCAATGCAATGGTAAATTTACCATTATAATTAAAAACCAAACCTAAATAGCAAAATTGATCTACCACTTCTATAGCTTTACCATAAAAAATCCACTGCTCGTTTAGATACAATCGTTTACTTTTCCTAAAAACAATTATTTTTGTTTTGTCTATATTTACAGATAAATTCCATCTTCGAGAATAAGTGATTAAAAAAATCCAACATATTTTGTAGGTCAACTATATCCTCAGAAAAAAATACCGTGTCATCGGCATGCATAATTAAAAACAAATTAAGTAATTGCAAGTGATAACTTTGGCAATTTGACTTAATCAATTCGGATTCCATGTCATTGACAAATAAAGAAAAGAAATATTGGAGATAAATATTCAACGACACAGCTTTCAAAGAGGCTACATAGTGATAATGCCATACAAATGTAAATATAATATTTAACATACAATGAGTTTTAGTTTAATGGTTGACAGTCATAGAGGATATACCTAAATTTATTTCATGATGATGGTTGAAAGCAATATGTCACAGACGTTTGTGAAGGGGAGGACATCGGCAAGTGGCCAGCCCGAGGTTGATACTACATGTATGACTATCGCGAAAAAAGGTTACTTAACATTCATTTACATCAATATAGAAAATACAAGTGCTTATTCTTCTTCCTCTCCATTGCTGTACTTTCAGGATGAATACATGAGATAGTAGTTCTTCTGTGATCATTTGCATATATTAAAA